GGTGGGGAGAGGGAGGGTTTCGGAGGAGAGGGGGGTGGTTGTGTTTGTGGTTGTGTTTGTGGTTGTGCTGGATCTAGGAAGCTTTGGCGGGTTTGGTGTGCTTTTTGTGGTGGGGGTGTAAGGTGGAGGAAGGCTCTTTGAGCGGGATGTTGATTTGAAGAGGGATCTGAGAGATGGTCGGGTTTTCGGTTTCTGAGAGGTGGGAGAGAATTAGTACCAGATACTTGTTCGAATTTTGTTTCTGCTAAATTGTAAGAAAAATGGGTTACTTACCGAAACTCCAGCTTCTGTAGTAGAAACTTCGACATGTGTCATTGCAAGGAAAGCAATTGAAGTAGAAGCAATTGAAGTAGTCCGGCAAATATAGCTGTAAAATCATAAACGAGAATAAGGAGAGTTAGAGTATATCATAGTAATTTGATAAAACATAAAACACTTCAACACGCAAGTAGTAGGAACGAGAAACGGGCGAGAAATAAAAGGGAAAATAAAAGATAAAGTCGAAGATAACGAAGAAGATCCTAACTATAATAAATACAGCCTTGCTGACAGGATCTCCTGCAGCACTACAAAGTGGATATGTGAAGGGATTGAAACACCAATAAGAAAGCTCCATTTAACTTCCTTGAGGGGTGGTCTCTGTTGGTTCCCCACTTCCGAACCGCGGCTAGGACGGAATGGGATATACATGGGAAAGATAGCAGGCAAGTGTATAATAAGTAACCCCGCAATTGGTTGATGGGAGAAATAGATACATGGTAGCTTTGGATGGACATACTCGTACTCGAGTACATGTGGTTCGTTGCCGCGGGGAAAATGGTGGGCGGCTCGGGAGCCAATGGGACGGAACGGGCCGGGTGGAGACGGAGAGTTTTTGGCCAATGAGGAGAGAGTGGAGAAGGAATTAGGGATTAGAAGGAGATTTTGATGATGTTAGTATGTATGAATTAGTGAGTCGAAATGGGTAGAATGAAAATCGCTTTGGTATGGTTGTCATCTTACGTCTTAAAAGGAATAATTTGTTATACTTAAGGCTTGCGAGTAAAGTTTATATATTCCTTGAATCCCCCCTAATAGTATTTTAATAGTAACTATTACCATTCAGGAACATACATCCAAGAACCTATTCTCAGATATCCCCTATCGCTGGCGATATCGGATATGTGAAACTTTCATGTACCTTTTTGGATCTGATGGCATGGCTTAGTATTCATGTAAGTGTTTTCACGCCGCGAATACTAATTCTTCATGAATAACTTTGTGACTAAAAGATATGGCGAAAAAGTGGATTGTAGAACTGGCAGTTGTATTGCTAAATAGGGTGACCTGAAAATGATAATCCGGGAGCGTATCATGCGGACTTTTATTGTGATTTACTTGATAACTGAAAGTTATTAGAATCCTGTATTCGTCTGAGCAAAATCGACAGAGACTTGTAGGATTACAGAGTTGGCTAATGAGGAGTCACGGAGCTCAGCATCTCCTTCTGTATATAGCCAAGTGCCTATTAAGACCCAATTTCTCAAAATAGATATGAAGATCGATATGTGTAGACTATTCTTTTCGAAGAACTCTCGGCTCGATCCTTGGGATTTTGGCACATCCCGAAAATCGAAATTCAGCTTATTCTAACAGCGAAATCGAATTCATAAAGTTATATTTTGGTGATCCTAACCCTAACCAGGTATTTTACAGATATTTACTACCTTAGCCATCACTCGACAAACCTTTGCCCACCGTGATATCTACAAAACACCCCTAAAACTATTTTCCCAAAGGAGTTACTAAGAACAATAATTACAAATTGTAAACCGAGAATATAAAGTTAACCTAGAAGTTATAGGAGTCACGTAGTCTATAGAGAGAGCGACTGTAATTTACCCAAATAAAAGCGTATGTTACTAATTGCCTTCTCATAATCAAATTCTTTTGAACGAAGAATGAATAGTTACTCTAGCACTTGAATGTCTAAGAGAGGGGGTGATTCTGAAAAGGAAATGATATCAACATATTTTTGCAGCCTAGTTTTATTCCGAGCATTATTAGTTATGATCTCAACGGAACGATCAAAAATAACATTTCGTTTATTAACCCACTCCACTATTAGGCACCCGACCGCCATGTAAGTGGATATTAATAAAGATGCACCAATCCCTAAACAAATTTGTAGTCTAGAGCAAAGGTTACCTACAGTAGGTGGAAAAACTGGCGCATCTAAGCTTTGCGCCCCCAGATCGGGTATGCAGTACGAGATGAGCTTGTTCCACAGAGGCTTTCTCCACAAGAATCTGACCAATCATAAAAGCTTCTGGGATATTTCCGTCCTTGCCCTGGTGGCACGACAGCCAAAATTATAGGCAACATGTCACGCTTGTAGGGAAGAAATAGATGAAAATGAGTAGACTAATGCTGTTTGCCGAGGTCAGACTGTCATACAAGGAGCAATTATGACCGATTCGCCTAGAAGAGGCATTGAATGTTCTTGTCTGGATTGTATTTAAGGGATAGGGGTTTCCCACGGGTTACTTGATCAGCAGCAGAATCAAGTTAGCTTCTCTTTTCTCCTCTACAATCCAGTCCATCATTTATAATGCAGTTCTTACTCCTCTCTCTCGCTACTTTCGCTGGCGTGGCAGTTGCCTCTCCCTTGGCTGGAATTTCACTATTTGACCGCCGACAAGATAATTGCACTACTTATAGCAGTGTTGCTGCCGGAACTGTATGCTACCATACACCATCCGATTGTGGGTTCTCGCCTTGTGAAATATAATTTGTGTTTGAATCCCACTAATTGTGGAATTTAAGGCTCAGCAAAATACCTTGTTCAAGCCGATGAGACATGTACAACTATTGCGGCCCGTTTTAACAACTTCACCCTCTCTCAATTTTACTACTGGAACCCGTACGTTTTTTCCTATCAATTCTTATTCTCTATCTCACAAGACCAGTGATGTTGGACAAACATGTTTTGGACTCCGAGCTTTCGTCCCCGTCTGTATCAACACCCCATGGTACACATTCGTTCCACCAGTTCAATCCGCCGCTGGCACCATCGTTGATGCCTCTGCAAAACCTGTTCCTGTTATGCCATCTATCACAAGTCCCTGCAAGAAATTTGAACTGGTTGGTTCGGGGCAGCGAGTTGATTCTATGGTTGCGGAGAATAAAATTACTTTGGACGATTTCTTGACCTGGAACGCGTACATTGACAAGACAAATCCTGTTGCTTGGGATGGATATTGGGTTTGTGTTGGCATTTAGTTGTCTCAGATGTTTGGAATCATTGATAGGAGATGGAATGGTTGAATCGGAGGGGAAATGATAGTGATGTAGAAATTTGGATCTTGAGCGTGGGCACTGCGGAGACAAAATTGTAACTATCATTAATTTTCAGGTCGTTGTGGTGGAACTTTGATAAAAAGAATCATTTGGTTGTACCTCTCTAATAAGCCCTGATAGACAGTACGGTATATAAGGAATACATTTATTCAAATTGCTGCTCCCTTTTTGCTTATTCAAAATTTATTTGGCTAAAGATTACTCGTTCTATTATATAAAACTAGATACAACTCAAAATCCAACCGAAATGTTCATCAGGTGCCAAACAACATCTCATCTAATACTGGCTCAGCTCATCTCTGGATGCAGGGACCCCACGCAGTCTCCCTTCCCTCCCATTCACTTACTCACCAGCAACCAACCCACCAACCACCTCCCCCCCTTCCCCACCCCCACGACCACTCCCGAAGTTCTCCCTTCATAACCCCAAATAACACATCCAACTTTCGCTATTCGACCTAGCGTAATTACGGGTTGCACTGGCGCATGGGCACAACAGTCAGGAGGAAGACGTTAATAATTCCGCAAGCCGCGGCCTATCGGAGCGAAGTAATAAACCAACCAGAAATGATATCTGAGTTTCCTTAAGAGTCTTGTACAGTTCCTGTACATAGGTAATTAAGTTTTTGCCATTTTTTGGAATTGTTTTTGGGGGTTTTTGCGGTGGTAAGGTGCAGGTGGTGAATTGTGGGTGTCGCGTTGGCGCTTAGGACCTTCGTCGTATTCTCATTTGTGCATCTACCAGAGGTACTATTGTATTCAACAATAGTCTTCGCAAGACCTGCTTCCCAATTAGCCCGACGTCGTAGTTAAAAATGTTATATGCAAATGCCTGTTTCATCACAAAGGCGGCGTACCATCGTTAGGGACAGGTATACCTACCATACCAAAGTGCAAGAAAAGTGGGAGTAGGAGAGACAATGAGCTCACACTTAGGGTTGAAGGTCAAAGTATTGGAATATGCTAGTTTCGTGATAAACAATTTGAGTTGGAAATCCAAAACGAATGCCTAGATTACCCGAGATGGTATTCTCCTTCCGTAACGTCGCAAAAAAAAAAAATGTGACCGAGACATCCGAAAAGCCGCATTGATTCTTATATAGTGGAATCAACTCTGAAAATAGAGTCAACAGCCTCTGTCGAGTCGAGACTGACAGCGAGTGTTACTGACACAAGTAAACATGTTAGAGTCTCGTCAGTTGAGGCCATCTTCATACACCGCTATCAATGATTTCCAAACGATGAAAGGGTGAATTAAAGAAGTCATCTAGGAAAAATCCTTACTCATTTGCCAAAGGAATCAGTAGCTTGTACAAGAGAAAAGAATTATACGGAGAGGGGGAGAATACAATTTCGGTACTCTGTGGTGGTCAAGTAAGCAGAGAACAGCAATTCCCCCCGCATACTAGTAGCATAACTTTACCGAATTCTATTTCTCTTTGGGGAAGAGGATCGGATTGGGCTAGAACTGCATTAGTACCCTATTTCGGGCTTACATTATCTGCTATATATAGCCGTCATCCCAACGGAAACGATAGAGCAACTCGGCTCAACACCGACTTCTCACACATCAATTTTTCAAGCCTCAAGCAACCCATTGATAACGCTGAAGATGGAATCTGCTCTTAAGCAACTCAAGCTTGCAATAGCGGAGGGCGTTGAAAAAGACCAGCGTCCGGAATACATGCTTCAAATTCAACATCTGGCATATTCTTTGGAAGAAACAAATGAAACCAATCATAGATATGGTCAAGGGGTAATCGGGTTCTATTTTTTGTTCCAAAAGATACCAGTTGCTAACAAAATATTCAGAATCTTTCGATGTGCTTGTGTAAAGGTTGCCCTCAATCTGGGGATTTTCGAGCAATTGGCAGCGTCAGAAGGCCCTCTGAGCTTGCGAGACATTGTCAAAAGGACCGGTGGAAACGAAGTATTATTAAGTAAGAAATGTTTAAGCATGAGTACTGGCAAGTTCGCTAATCCTTCCTTACACAGATAGATTGATGAGGTTTCTATCTGCTATTGGTACAGTACAAGAGACTGGGAAGGGTCAATTTATTGCCAACAATGTGACAAAAAACCTCGCCGAAAGGGTCGCGAAAGCAGGCATATCACACTTGTAAGTTTATGAAGGTAAGACCTCCCCTTTTGGTAAACAAACAATAACGTCGGCCCTAGTTTCGAAACAACAGCACCGCTAGCACAATCTTTACCCCGCTACCTTGAGGAAAACAAATACCAGAATCCAGATCATGAGTTGAATACCACATTCCAAGCTGCCCACAAAACCAACTTGTCTACATTTGAATGGATGGCCGAGCATCCGGATCATCTTGCTTTTTTCAACGATTACATGGCCCTGCGGCGAGAGCCCAATGTGACCTGGCTTACTGTGTATCCAGTTCAAGAGGAGACGAAAGACTGGGATCCTTCAAAGGCAGTATTTGTCGATGTTGGTGGCGGAATTGGGCATCAGTGCGCTCAGTTCAAAGAGAAGTACCCGGACGTGCCCGGCCTCATTATTCTCCAGGATATGCCCCACTCTATCGCAGTTGCCTTGAACACGCCTAAAGTGGAGAATATGGTGCATGACTTCTTCGAACCACAACCAATCAAGGGTAGGTGTCTGTTGGCTTATTTTCCAATCCTCGATGCTAAAGGCTTTCTAGGCGCTAAGTTCTACCATATGAGAGGGATTCTACATGACCACTGTTCTTACAAAGCCCGACAAGCCCTAGAAGCAACCAAATCGGCAATGACATCAGAATCCATTTTGCTCATTGATGAGATGATCTTTCCGGAGGTATGTGTCAACAGCCACTGTGCGTCGATTGATATTACTAAGTTGGAAGTGCTAGCGGGAATGGAGAGGACTGAGGAGCAATGGAAGGCGACACTCGAAGATGTGGGTCTTGAGTTGGTGAATAGTTACACATACAATCCCTTGAGCTACGAGAGTGTTATAAATGTTCGGCTTCCAATGGTCTAGTGCCTTGTATCGAACATCGCTTTAACCGAAGATACTGTAGATGGACCAACAAAGATCAGATTTTTTGTATCGATGGAATGATTTATTGTCGATACGAATTCTATAAGTTAGTAGTTTTATTATAAAAGGATAATAGTTAGTATATCTTCCTACTACGCTATTACTACTATTATTATTTAATTCGCTTAATCTACTCGATTCGTTATTTATTTACCTTAATTACTGTCACGGATGCCAACAAAGGATAAAGTGTATACAGCTTTTGAATCAATTGCTAGAACTAAAACCGTAGGTACGAAGAAATCAAACTAAAGAGAGAAGAGAATCTGAAAGGAGCGAAGTTATTTAAGTTGTTCCAATGCCAAGTCTCGTCACGTGCTTGGCCAAGCGAATGAAATCCTGTCAAATGAAATCCAGCTCCGTCACAATTACTTACTCCTAAGTAATATCCTTATACGTAATTAAATTGACCTTAATACTATTACTCTAGCCTCCTTTTTATTAAGCTATATTGACTAACGTTTATATCTTTAACCTCGTAGCTATTAGAAAACAGGGGTATAATATAGAATAGATAAGCTAGAATATAAAGAGAAGCTAGCTAGAGTGTAAGTTGTCACGAATCACGTGTAATCATGTGACGAGTGAAGACCAGGCGGCGCTCTGACAGGTTAAGCACTATCATATCTCTTATAGCAAATAGGGATCGTTTAGGCTAGCTAAGCGATTCATGGATCTCATTGCATTGTAATTACGTGACCGAGCGACTGTTGTTGGTGTCGGTCGAGTCGACTGTCGCTGACAGGCGGTCGAGTCGCTCTGCGATGATCAACAGAGAACGAAGGTTCTATATAAGACTGGCACGTCTGCCATTAGATAGGAGCTTCGTGCTCAACTTAGTTATCAATCTTATCATATTAGTTTGACATCTTTGATACAAGTAACGAGTTCACTTCCAAGTAAACAACCCGATAGTCTTCTTCTTATCATAGCATACCAACCAGCGAACACCCAGCCAAGTTTAGTTAGCCAGTTTGAGTATTCGTTACACTAAACCTTAATTATATTACCCTAGTCTTCTTATATATTATTAAAGGCGCTAGCAGCGCTAGCGTCTTCTTACTATACTAGCTGTTAAAATTGCGCTATAGTACTAGATTATCTTCGCGAAGCCTCTTTAGATACTAGCTAGCTAGTATAGTAGTAGGAGTAGTAGTAGGAGCAGTAGTAGTAGAGACAGGTTATTATTATATAAGGAAAACAGTATTAGCGGCATAGCGCTATAGCTTTGATTTACTAGAAAATAGGTATAGAACTATATAAAAAAAGTGAATGTTAACTAACAGAACTACCCTACTTCCTAAGCGATAGTGACAGAACTACCCCTTTTTTTTCAACCTTTTCGAGGGGTATTAATCTAGGGGGTATTTCTATCAAAATCCAATTACGCAAGAGGTATTTTAATGATTTATAATAAATTAGGGGGTATTTCGGTCAATTACCGTTATATAATTATATAACTAGCTCCTAAATTATATAATTATAACATCCCTAAGCTAGTTTCGTTATATCCTTAGATATTCGGTAACACGAAGTAGAGTCCTCAGATATAGTTTAGAAACTAGAACTTACGTAAGCTATACCAAAGTTCAAAAAAATCAAAAGACTTTCAAGAAGAGGCTTCGAGATCTATTGAATAATTTTTTGCTGGAAATCTAAGTACAAGTACAGTACAGCCAACTAAAATAACTTGGTATTTAACCAGGCTGCGAATGTTTCTAGACTTCTTCGCTAAAATCCTGTATAGATCTTCTTCTTTCACTGCTAGTAGTTTCAGAATCAGATGAAATCAGATAAACTTTTGATGATGATATCGCGGAAGCGCTTGAACATTTGAAACGCCTAAACATTTAAACCAACAAAACAAGCAGGACGCCCAAATAGATTCAAACTGTATCCATTTGTAGTACAACATATTTACAGATTATCGCTACTATACAAAATAAGCTGCCAGCCATAAGAAGAAAGCGGTAGTAAAATCAAACTCACAGCTCAGTCTTCTCTAAAGGAGCCGACCTTTTCGGTCCATGCGGCTCATTGACTCCCACTACCCCCATTTCCGGGAAGTGGCCTTCAAGATCTAGCCACTCGGCAGCAAATGCAGTGACAATCATAGTCCAGTCTTCTACTGTGGGCATATCCAGATGTTCTCCGTCGTCCTCCAATGTATGCCAAACGCGCGGAAAGGGCGAGGGGATAATGTGTAATATCTCGACTCCGCGAGCCATGAAGGGGAGATGGTCGTCTGCGATACCTCCTCCTCTTCCAAATCTACTAGCTTCCTTGTCGTAGTCTGGAAGGAAAGGCTTCCTGCCCTTGTCCGATTTCGTCAGACTTAATGTTCGCATGCGAGATTCGATTGAGCTCATATGTCGGTATGCCCAATGTGTGGTCTCGAAATACGAAGGGACGTTGGGATCCTTTGATCCTAGGAGGTCGAGGAGTAGGAAAAGAGAGATGGATCTAAGGGCGTTTTGATATGTGGACATCGCAGGTTGGATAGTTGCTTCCCATGATTCTGCTAGTGATCTATAAAAGTTAGTATCTGGTGTCGTACAGGATAGAGACTCCGGACCTTGATCCATAGAGTGAGTCGTCATCTGTCCAGTTCACAAAGGCCTCCTCTCCGTCTAGCAGAATGATTTGTATGCCAGTGTCGTCCCCGAGTCCCTCTTCGCCAGCCTCTTCCATAGCCTCCCATTTCCGGGTCATAGCCTCGTCTATACTTCTCGCGGCATGCATAATCATCGCACATGGTGCTGCACTGTCAATTGCACCAATGAATCCTGTTGGGGTGAGTTTGCTATCGTAATGTGCAACCAGAGCCAGCCTTCCCACATTCCCAGGTTTCGCCCATGGCGGATCGCGTGTAACGATGATATTCACAAACGGGACTTGATCAGTGCCAGTCGCGGGAGTCGTCGCAGTCGAGTTTTGATATTCAACCTTCCACTTGGGCAGGTTGGTCGCGAACCAATCTCTGAAGTGCTCCTGAACCTGTTTCGAGCCTGGCGTTCCTGGGACCCGAGGGATCAAGATTGGAGCAAGAATTGCACCTGTCTTGATGTCGAAATCTGCGCCGGCAGCAGGAAGTTTACGCAAGCTTTCGTCCGACAAAGGAGTTAATGCAGCGGCGAGCTGCAGAAGACTTCCGGCCACTAGAGGCCAAAACATGTTCATATAAAGGCAGAAGCCTATTCCGTCTCAATTACCGATATAGTCGTGTCCTTAGAATCATGTTCGTAGGTACTCAATTGTGGTGTTGATATGAGATAGAGCAATGATGCTCTAGTTCCGGCGATATCTGGCACTTGGCGGGGATGTACCGAATGCGAGACCCCTGCTGTCCCTGCCCTGTCGATCCTCGTCGGCCCGGCCGACCTTTTTTCCGCTCCGTACCGAAGCGCTTTTCTGCCTCTCAAGGTCACCTTTGGATTTGATACTACGTCAAACCTTCTCTTCCTACTACCAGTAGCCAATAGCTCTTTGACTGGACCTTCTATTCAACAATGGCTATCTCGAGTCAGACATGAGAAACATTTGACAAGGCTTAATCCCCAATTCTGCCCTACGGCGAGAGAACGGCAAAAATGACAATGTCCTTGCTAGCATCACGAAGAGTCCTCCTCAATCTCAGATACAGGCCAGTTCAATTAAGGTCACATTTCAAAGATCTCAAAGAATTCAGGGCTCCTGGTCGTTTCTACTCAAGCAAGACAATATCTCCAGCAAGCTCATCTAAGCCCAAGGCGAAGGCTGGTAGTTGGGGAAAAGGTAAACTATATCTTTGGCTCTAATCAATTTTCAAAATTCCTCTAACACGACTATAGTTTTTCCCGAGAGGTTGATTATATATCATGCTGGCACATTTCAGAGCACGTTTCTAGCATGTGCAAATGTGACCTCGATATTTGTTTTTGGTGCATTTTGTGGATTAATCGCTCCTAACCTCTTTCTCTACGATCCTGATATACCACTGTGGGTTGCACTTACTAGTAAGTTTTAATTTGTTTTACAAAATAAAAACAGAGATAAAGCTATAGCTTCTATCTCATCCAAACGAATAGAAACTACAAGAACCGAGTAAAACTCACTAACCATCCTCACAGTATTCATCTCGGGACTCATCCCCCCAATTGTCGCCATGTATGTCAGTCGCCCATTCGTTTGCTTCATCCATCTCCGACTCCCTCTATACGCTCGCGCTTCACGTGAATTGATGCTTCGCTACGCGAAGACACTACCCAAAGACGCTGTTCTCGATATCACCACCATCAAAATGTTCGGATCGAAACGGATCAACCAAGTCAAAGTTTCAGAGCTCTATCCAATTCGAGGCAGACTGAAATTGGCCAACTATGGACGAGATGTGAGTGTGGCCAATGCCAAAAGACCCTGGTGGATGCCAAGAGCACTTAGCAAATTCAACGTCCACACGAAAAAGGAAACTAAGATTGCTGGGGGAGAAGCTTGGCCGTTGATTGCGGCGACGATTGCTAAAAGAGCGCCAAAAATCTGAATTGAAGTTGCGTAAAGAATAGGCAGCTGGTCAAACTTAGTGCAGAAGGGGAGCAAAAGTTGTTACAAGAGCCCAGAAACGTAACAAAAATGTATAGTACAATATACCTGTAACACAGTCACGATATAGAAATTCTCGAGCATGCTGAATTATCGATTCATGGTAATATTAGGAACGAGCGATACCAATCTAATCAGCAGCTACCAATTACAAATTATTATTCCATCATACATATTCATTCCTCACTATTACATTCATCCCTCCTCAGCATCAAAACTTTCTCCTGCCATCTTCCAAACAAGCCACTTCATTTATCCCCTAAAAAAAATCAGTATATACCTCCCACAACTTCCCACTCCCAACTTACACTCAACTCATCATTCATTCCTCCTAATAACCATCATACCCCCCAGCCGGCGCAGGATACTCCCCATAACCTCCCGCCGGAGTCGGATAATCACCATAACCCCCAGCAGGAGCCGCAGGCGTCACAGCGGGGTACTCGCCGTAACCCCCCGCTGGCTCGGGGTAATCACCATAACTCCCGTAGTCCTCGGGGATAGCGATGGGTGCAGCGAGGGTGCTGGCTAAGATGGTGAGGAGGGTGAGGATGGTGTACTTCATGATTGGTATAGTATATTTTAGGGGTTGAGGTTGGGTAGGTGTGTTTTAGGTGGATTTTGGGTGAGTTGGGGAGGATGGAGATGAAAGGTAGCTTTTAGGGATAGAGGAGTGGTTGTCTTATATCCCTCGTTGTATGGTCTTTTAGTATAATATATAACCATCGTCGATCTATATCTATATCAACTCAACTCCGTTTCCGCACTCGGACATTTCTTGAGGGCTTGCACTGCCTTGTGGTGGAACTGTGGCCGGGTTCAGTTCCCCTCCTACGACTAAAAGGTATAGTATGTATTTTGTTGGAAGACGATTGGTTCTCTGAGTGGGAATCGAGATCGGCGATTTTATGGAGAGGTAGAGGATGTGTCTGCCTTCGTTTATGGGGCTGCTTTCTTTGTGGGTTTGGAGATGGATTGGGATGTGGGATGTGGGATGATGCGGTGGTGGTACGGTGGTGGCTTGGTGTGTTATATGTGGTATATGATTGTCAGGTAAGGTTGGGATATACTACGTTACGACGATGGGGGCTTTTGTAAATATTAGGGGTTTTGGGTTTTGTTGTGTTTGTTTTAGTGAGGTTTTTGTTAAGCGGTATATGGCGGAGGAGAAGCTTAAGCGAGGGCTTACGAGTAGAGTGCTGTACTTGGCTAGAAATACGGCCGGCCCTCTTAAACATTTGTATTGGTAGAGATATTTTAACTTTTCAGGAAAGATTATATAATTATTCTAATTCATAGACTAAATTCTACCTACTTCAGTACTTTTTATTACATTATACTTTCATATTAGATAGATAAAACTAGAATTACATTCCCCTAATACCCCTTTCTATATAATCATCCTTATAGCCATTTGTTATTATCGTTTTCTAGCTTAGAAAAACGACATTTCTAAGTAGATATTATAAACTTTCCAAGTTTTTAACAACTGTTACCTTTCCTAGGCAGTTTCTCCGTGTCCAGTGACGACTCCTAGTAGGGCTGAAAACAATATCCGGATATTATCCTATGAGGCTTGAATGCGATCTACATGGCTGAGGACAGCTCTTTCTTTGTTATCGCGCTTAGGAATGTGTCTATAGTAGTGTTACCCCACATTGCTGTGAAACATCTGCTTGCGAAAGCCACTCCTTGCGCCCGGACGCTCAAAGCCGCCACATATTCTTGAATTCAGATTGGTTCCCTTACTGATTGGTTGCGGTGAATTGACGACTTAATACATCATCGCATTCTCGCTTAGACTTTAGGCAGGAGCACTTTTTAAAAACATACTATCATTTTGTTTAGCGCTCTGGTAATTCCCATATGTTTAGTTTTCATAACAAGCGTACCCCTTTTCAACCACTGCGACAGTCAGAGGATTGCGAAGCTTTAAGTGTCTTATCCGGAGAAGATGAAGAGAAAAGTAGAACTCCACAAAAGTTGTCGCAGGCTTGGATACCATGTCTATTCGTCTTGACATTTTGTGTCGCGGCTATTTTTGGAGCTTTCTGCGGACAGAAGCTCTTCCTTAACTCAAACACCTTTTGCATTGAGAAGACTTCCAATTATTGTGGGTTTCCTACTACAATCTATAGATCAATCCTTACCCGTCTATACCTCCCATCCTAGAAGACCTAGAAATCACATATCACACCACTCGCTTCAACGGTTCATTTTTGCAGGAGAATATCTACCGACAAAGCGCAGGTAAAGAGGTTGATGCTGCTTGGGAGGGCCTTGGGATAGATTGTGAGGCTCTATCCCCAGCCCCCACTTTTTCTAAATTTTATTCTCTAATAACGTCCAGACAGGAATATAATTGTCCCTCCAGCGATAGCGATGAAATCTGGAATTTCTTCAGATCATGTTCATGTACGTGAACAGTACGGTGGTGGGTATCCAGCGAATGTAGAGGGTTTGCACCATCTCCATTGCTCGCTGTATTATAATTATGAGTACTATCAAGAGCTTGGTGAGGGAGCGTTTAAGAATGAAGAGCCGATTCTGAGATTACATGTTTGTAAGTCTATCTTGTTATCTTTGCCTGCTAGCCGCCTTCTTAATCGGCTTGATAAAACCTTCGGAGGAGATTCCATATCTAATCATGTCTTTGATTAGACACATTAATCGCTAACTAAACCTCCAGCTCACTGCCTTGATATCCTCCGCCAACAACTCATGTGCACCGTCGACGTAGGAGTTCTCGGTCGCGTCTGGTGGAACAAGGAAGATCCTACGCCGTTTCCTGATTTCAATACAGATCATAAATGTAGAAACTTTAATGCGGTGAGGCAATGGGCCTTTGAAAGACAGGTACCGGCAAGGGTGCCAGAAGATTATCTTGAATCACCTAGGGATTTGAGTATCGTTCACGATAATATGCCTTGATCTCCTAAGAGAGGTTTACGGGTAAAATGTATATAGTCAAATTTCTTCCCTATAGGTTGAGGTTTTTTACTTTGAACTGTTGTTTTTGGCTTGAGGTGCGCGTGTGATCTTAACCGCACTTCCAGGTTGGGCGACGGGAGTGAGGTGGGTGCTGAGCTAGGACTCGAGCGCTCTTTCCCGTTTTGTCAACTTCGAATGTTACTTCCTTGAATGTAGATAATCGTGAGTTGCTTCATGAAAGACGCTTCAGGCACCAATCTTCAGCTGCGTTCCGCTGGCAAGGGTTGTTTATAAATTCCCTTCTTCTCCTCTTCAACCTTCTCTTCCACATCAACACCTCACAACAACAATCAAGTACAACACAATATCAACCACACACTTCACCCTCAATCTTCCCTTCCATCATCAAGCAAACAGCTACTCAAGCCAACCCCTACCCAATCCGATCTCAGCAAGAACGCGTGCGCGTCTGGGAGCTCACCTTTCCTTGAAGTGACAAGATATCTACCTCGTGAGTTCACCATCGCTGTGACAGCGTTATACTATGGTTGACTGACGTGACAGCCCTCAAAAGCTGAGTTCTCAGCTGCACGTCTTAAGGCAGCCTCACCTCTTCGTCTCTTCGCTTCACTCTCCCCTTAGTAGAGCGTCTTTGCCTTTACTATATTAGAGTAAGGCCTCTACCTTGTAAGTTTACTGTTGTTCAAACCTTGTTCTTAAAGTATCTACTAACACAAAGACAAGGGGTGCAGGTCTTGTGTCCCTAGCTAGCTTCTAGCTTATATCTCTTCGTTCTTCTTCTTCCTTTTGCCTCACACCCAAATCTCACACAAACGAAGCTTCACTTTTATAACACATTACTAGTAAGTCATGTTCTTTTGACAACCCTCACTAGTGAACTCTTCACTGGTATATACGCAAGTTCTCCTACATCAGCCTTTTATAGGCCAGCCTGATCTGCTCCTTACTAGTCCTCGTATTTTGTTTCTCCTATCCGAGGGTCTTTGTTACGCGGCTGACTTTGAACAGGGCAATATGAAATGCCAAATCTGTTCTAAGAATTGCGAGCTTCTTCAACGCCGCCTTTGCAGTGTCGAGTATTGCTCCCAAGCTTGCAGACTCCATCAAATACACATATCTGCATGTGGAAGCCTGAAGGCGTTGCAAGATCTGGAGCGACCAGCAGACACCAAGTTTCGGCTATGCAGAGTAACATGGGATTTCCCGGTCGGAGTTGGATCACCAGAGATGTCACTGACGAAATTTGAGAGAGAGGATGGGACGGAACCATGGAGCAAAGAGCCGCATACTCAATTTCCAATCTCCATGGGAACACTTGGAGTGGCCACTCATTTTGTTGAGTTGTGCAGAGAGTAGGATGTCAACCTTCTCGTCACTGAATCGCTGCAGCATTACTTTCGGGGTTATGGGACCACTACCGAGATAGCCTTTATGGGGCGTCAAGGATTCCGCGGACACATTCGAGCCTACCGCTATACAATAGTTGAAGGAATGAAGGTTTACGAGGATATGGGTATCGAGGATGTTCGCCTGATGACTATCTTCATATTTACCCGCATCTTCAACATCAATATTTCGCGAAATCTTTCTCTTATTATATTCAAAGGAACGGCAAATTGGATAACAGCGTGGATAGTACACGGCTTCAAGGACCAGCAGATCGTTCAAGAGGTCAAAATCAGCAAGACCCATCCAATTTTCACCAATCCAAACAGCAAAATTTCATGGATTTCGCAACGGGTAAGTTCCCCCTACTCTGCATGAAGTTGGACCAGGAGCAAGGGAAGCCAGGCAACATCAAGGCCGGGTACTTGACGCAAATTCCATTCGATCAAGATGTACCAGGCTGGCCTCGAGAGACCAGAGATCAATGGGCGATTCTCAACCTCAAAACCGTTCTGGTCGCAAGAGGGGATCGAGGTCACTTTACGGCTCCTCAATTTGAAGCGTTCTACAAGTTTGGTAAATAAATATATCAAACTGGGTCACAAAGCGATGCGAGTGGTTGCAAGATTGGGTTGGTGAGGTTCCCCGATCGATATCAATGGGAACCATAATACACAAAGATCTCCAAGATCTCACCTAAGAAGGGAAAATCTTCCTTATAAAATTACCGCAGAATTTCATAAATAAGACAGCCCCCTAGCAGGGTTGCTCTCGACGCGGATTTCCTGTAATAACAAGTAACTTCGCTCCCTTCTCCTACCCCTTTTTGAGATACAACGTGATCACAATACTGACTCTTTTCAGAATTTGAGCTGCCCTTGAGATTCTCAGGGGATTGAAAACAAAAGAGATAAAGCTATCGTCTCCTTTAGTGAAGCACATTCATGTAGCGTATCTGGGATAGACAAGGAACTGGGGGCGTTTTTTATTTTTCTCGTTGATCTTTTTCCCCTGCAGCAAAATTACCACCATTACTTACTATTATCCTCATTATTATCCTCATTACGGTTACCACAAAGCACGAAGCACAAAGCTTCTTCATATATGAAAAGACAATCCTGTACATAGGAACTTATCTCCCGACATCTACATACACATAACAATAAAAGGGATGTTTTCTCTCGAGGTCTAAGGATGAAAATACGAGTGATTGATAAGCGTTCAAAGAGAGTTTAGAGGAATAGTATAGTATAGTATCCCTTCTCCAAAATCCAAAAGATCAGCTCAAAGAAAGATAAAAACAAAAAGTAGAAGAACTAGAAAAACCCCCCCAAAAAAGAAGAAAGAAAATGTTATCAGGATTATAATGACCAGTAGTTTCCACCGCACAGAACCTGCATATATTAGAACGGGAGTGTATAACAAAGGAGGGCTATATAAGCGAGGCAGGCTCCTACACATTGCCCACGTACTTAGCTCCCTAGTCATCTGAATACAACTCTTCTGGTATCCTGGCCTTCTATATTTATAGCAATAGGAAAGAAAGGAAAAGAAAATAAACTATATAGAAGATAAACAACCCCCTTGCCCCCTTAAAAAACCCTACTACCTACCTAAGAAAAACCATACCCTCTCAAGAAAACAATCACCTTCCCTAAATCGTTCTACTAATCAAGAACCATATCTCCTAAGAATCACAGTAACAAACCCTAGAATCCCAAGAGAAAGATTCTCTATTCCCCCTTCTTAAAAAACCCCTAAACCCTCTTCTTACTCTTAATAGATAATCTAAGAACTATCCTGGAATCCTAAAAAATAGGCAGGGTAGAGATCTTACTAAGCTATAGAAGATAGAAAGCTACTTACTTAAAGTAAGATGATAAAAGCGAGCTAAGAGAGAGAAGTTCTCTATAGACAAATGAGTTTTTATTAAGGATAGATAGATATTCTTATGTCTTAATAAGGTAATCTTACTAAGCAGGATTAAGATCAAGCTTAACCCCTACCTCGTTACTCCATCCAGGACGAAGACCCATCTCCCCCCACGCCTTCTCAACATCAACTTCTAAGACATGCTCATCGACACTACTAACCCCCACTGTATGGACCGGCACAGGTTTGCCGAGGATGGTAATCATTAATCGATCCTCCCAATTGAACGTCGGTAGGGTCGAGATGTATACCCCTACTCGCGTCAGTAAAGCTATGTATAAGAACGGGATAAGAAAGGTAGTTTGATATAATCTTACCAAGGACACCAAGGGCTTTAAGGTGCGTCTCAAGCACAATCTTCCCGTTCTCTAGCTTCGTAAGTTTATTCTCGACCACCGCCGCGGCACCAGCCATTTTCCCGAGTAAGCCTAGGTTGGCTATCCATGTCGTTTCTTCTTTGGCCTCGTCTACGAAGCCTCGGAGGGGATAGGCGGAGAGGATGTCGTAGCCCCGGATACCGAGGGTGATTTGAAGGAGGGAGGCGGGGTCAACGACTTGCATTGGTTTGGAGATTAGACCGCTTGAGTGCGCGCGGACTACATATAATTGCGCTTCAACTACGCCTGGGAATTTGGAGAGGGGAACGAGTTCGGTGAGTGGTCGGCCGGATACGTTGAAGAAGCCTATCATGCCGGTTCCTGTGATTGCGGCACCTACTAAGACTCAGAGTGTGTCCAGCACACCAGCAAAGGAAGGCCTACCGTGGTATGTTCCCACAAGAAGTAAGTTGTCATCATCATATCCATTATACTGATCCAGACTCTTCCCAACCACACTAGGCCTGAATATAACGGTCTTTCCACGGATAGTAGGACCTGTCATTTGGTTTATCAAGTCGAAATCATGTTCACCTGGCACGTCGGTAACGTAAATTGGTCCACCACTAACACATCTTGCTGCGGCGTGAAATCCCGAGTAATCATGAACTGTTTGAAACATGTCCCAATCAGGAATGACGTTCAGATGCTGCGTAAATAGCGCATTATGAGCATTGGTCCAGATATGCCATGGATGACTTGTTGGGATCTCTGGGAAGAAATCATCAGAATTTCGGACAAGAAGAGGTGGTGTATTTTGAGGTAGCTGTGAATGGAAAAGAATTTGCGGAGTTTGAGACATGCAGGATATTGCCTTGATACTAAAATGTCGTAAAGTCGAAACCGACCATGCATCTAGATAGGTAGAGATGAGATCGCTACGGGCTTTCGCCGAGACAAAACTGTCGAGCATGAACTGAGCACTGTATATATATTAGAACAAGAGTCCAGGAAGAAGCAGAATACGCACTCTGTTTTGACAGCATCAACCCCGCATGATGACAAGAACTTGTAGAAGTCATCATAAAATCTGAAAACGTCCTCCTTAGCAACGACAGTCATTTTGCCTCCAAGTGGAAGATTGCGTCTCTTTGCATCTTCTCGAACAACTTCAACCGTCTTGTAGGTTTCTGCAATTTTACCTTCAGGATCCAACCCACCCCAATATCCGAGGATTGCATGCCAGACAGCAATGTGTTGAATACTTGGATGCTTTGCTCGAATCTTCTCGACGGTGCTCTTCAACCCATCTGGAAAAGCTTTTCGCTCGGCTTCAAACTCAGACCAGCCATGTTGAAATTGACCATGTCCTCGGTAGTCAATAGCTTGCCAATTATCATCAATGATGAAGTTGGTAACATTGATTTTATTTTCTGCGAGAGTTTCAACTGCTCTTAGAATTTTGTCTTCTGTAAGTCGTTGGCCGAGAGCGTTCCAGGTGCCTATACACATTAGTTGAGAGTAGTCAGAGGATCCGTCCTAGTTCAAACAAGTGCTTACAATATGTTAAGCCATCGTACCAATTCTCCGACCAGGTTTTCGTTGACTCATTCCCTTCCTTGAGAGCAGCTAGTTCTCTCTGATGTTCTCCACTTGCTGTTTGTGCAGCTGTGACGATTCCTCTAGCGTGATACATGACGGCAGCATTTGCAGACTCGAAGTTGTCTCCTAAGCCTACAAGAATATGCGCAGTGCCATTTTGAGTACTGTCGTTACGAACCTTTTTTCATTAGTCATGTCTCGAACAAAAGCTTCGTAATAGAGTACCTTGAGAACCACATTTCCTTTTTCATCTGCCTTGAACATCGTCATAACGTCATTCACACCACTAATAGCTAGCAAAACCAAATGCTTTCCCGTGTCGCTAAGGAACGAGCATAGTACAGCCTCTTTATCCAAATCGAAAAAGTCTTTGCCTTGCCGTGGGGCTAGCCATGGTTGCTAGAAAAAGAAGTCAGTATTGCTATTTTTGATTATGGCAGGGAGTATCAAGGCAGATTTGTGAGGCTGTTTTTAAGTGTGTTCTGAAGCAACCGTGTGTTGACACTTTTATCAAACCCTATGTAAAACAGCAGGAAGAAACTCGCAGGATACCTACCCAAATGCGTATAAGTGCAAAATATCGAAGGAACTTTCCTTTTCCCCATGGTAGACCGAAATGGATGTCTTTTATTGTCGAAATCTCGCCATTTGCTGCTTCAATTGAAGCCTCAACTGCCCAGAGCGTGGTACCTGGTGATTGGCTTCTGTAGTTTTTGGACGTTAATTCAGAATTAAGACCTTCAATGTATTCTCCAAGTTCATTTGATATCGCATCTTGACTAGTGACTGATGCCAGAAGAATCTTGCCATCTGGGATCCCTTGGATATCGGGGTCTCTGGCATATTTCCATGAGCCACTGAAATTTTCTCGAAATTTCACCGTAAAGGTTGTTGGGGTCTGAATTGAAAGAGGGGTGGTAAAGTAGAGACGCTTGAGGGCATTTGGTCTATTTTGAAGTGTAACGGGATGAGTAGACAGATCTCTCGCAACGTTCATGGGAGTGTCTTTCCATCCGGAACCAGTCGATGGATCCAAGCAGGAGAGTGACACCTCCCAAGGAAGATTGGCTCGGCTCTCGTCCACTTCCAACAATGCTGTGAAGACAGTGGTATTGTCATCGACTTCCGTAACTTGACCCAAAGGGGGGTAAGTTGAAATGTATCCCTTCATACTGGGATGAGTTGCAGGTGTTGGCAGCTTTTGCTTTGGGATGTAGGCGGCCTGGAAAACCTCGTTACCATCAGCACCGGAAATGAAAACTTGAGGTTCTGCCATGATGGTCGGCAGAAAATGCGGGTGATTGGGAAGAGGACCGGATCCAGAGATTCGAGTCAGGTGAACAATGGAATACCTATGGTACCTAGGGAGGTATTGCCCAGAGAAGATTGGGCTGTGTATGTGAGTACTGGGAAGACCTCAAAATGAGGAGGTCAGAAAGGACAGGAACGATGAAGAGTCCCAGTTTGCGTTTGTAATTGGATCACGGTACAGGTAACGGCTTGCAATTGGGGGATGAACAGGTAACCGAGTGTACCTGGGTAGGGGTATGTGCAGCGGGCAGAAGTCAAAGGTGAGAAGAAGCCGAAGCCGAGAGTCCTCGTGGAAGTTGAAGTGGAAGTGCAGATGGGAGGCCTCAATACTGCTGGTCTCAATCCTGCCTTGGTGCAGAGATTCGAGAACAGAGGAAGACAATTGAGAGGAGAGGCAATGTAGATTCAAGTATGAGGATGAGGATGAGGATGAGGATGAGGATGAGGATGAGGATGAGGATGAGGATGAGTATACCTATGAGTATACTTATGAGTATACCTATGTACGGAGTAGAGACTGCCAACACACCACTGATATGCAATGCAGCTATGTGCTGCGTGATCTGGTAGTGGCAATGACAGCCGGAGTCGTCTTGGTGCTGGTTCCTGCCATCCAGTCCAGTACGAGTACGTAAGTACTCAAGCACTCTCCAGGTACTCGAGTACTCTCAAGGTACCCAAATGAGGGGAGCCGATGCCGGCCCGGTCCGGTGAAGCGCGCTCCGGCGGCCTCGGATTCAGAGCCGCAATCGCGTCTATTTTTTTTTTTTGCTACTCGTACAAGTAGGACATCTCCAAACTCATCAACACCCCTTCATTGCTCTCCCACCCTCCTCCTACACTTCTTCTCTTCTCCCCTTTCGAGTCAACTCGGTCCATCCACTCCTCAGTTCCATGGTTTCATAGCGACCCTTCAAACCGCCGTCATGGCCTCACCCTCATTGCTTCGAAGCTCCGCCCGAGCCAACCTCTACGTTTGTGCACAATGCTCCCTTCGAGCACGAAAATCGCCGACCTGGACAAGCAAACGTTGGATTGGCATGAAATACTTGGCAAAAGTCGCTGACGCAGAAGTACAATGGGCAGAGAAGGCATCGGCCATTATAGCGGGAAAGAGGAAGAGCATGCTCACCATTCTGGAAGAGAGAGGTTTAGTGAACCAGATCACAGGGTATGCTTGGAGCTCATGTACTGTTGATTTGGATTACTGCTAAACGGCCTTGATTCTAGTGATCGCCACACCTTCGAGAAACGAATGACGGACACAAGACTGGGAGCATATGTCGGAATTGACCCAACTGCCGATTCCCTCCATGTTGGCCATCTGCTGCCATTTATTACGCTTGGTTGGATGTACATGTATGGGTTCCATGCCGTGGCGCTTTTGGGAGGGTCCACAGCGAAGATTGGGGATCCAACAGATCGATTGACGACCCGAGAAATTCCGCATTCATCAATCAGATCCGCAATGGTGGTAACTATGCATTACCAGCTAAAGAAACTATGGATCAATATAGACACATATGGCAAGCAACGTATTCAAGATCGCGAGAAAAATGATTGGGTGATGCATAGGGAGCTGGCAAACAATGCGTGGTGGTGGAATAAACAGCCGCTGCTCGAGGTTCTACAGGTCCTGGGTCACGGCATGCGATTAGGGCCAATGCTTGCTCGAGAAACGTAAGTAACTCTGTCTGTTACTGAGATGGGAAAATCACTAAGTCCTCAGTGTAAAAAACAAGATGAAGAACGGCGATGGAATGTCATTTGCAGAATTCACTTATCCTCTTCTGCAAGCCTGGGATTGGTGGCATATGTTTCATACGAAAGGTGTACATATGCAAATAGGTGGCGCCGATCAATTTGGGAATATTACTGCTGGGATTGATGCCATCAAGTACATATCCAAGCACCATCCAGATCCCGTCGTAAGGAAAACGGTTGAGCCCATGGGAGATCCAATTGGTTTTACGGTTCCTTTATTGACAACAAGCTCTGGCAAGAAGTTGGGCAAAAGTGAGGGGAACGCCATTTGGCTTGATTCAGACAAGACAAGCACATTTGATTTCTACGGATATTTTCTTCGTACTGCTGACGCCGACGTCAGTAAATATTTAAAAATGTTTACATTTTTGCCAATTGAGGAGATTGACAGTTTGGTTAAGCAGCACATGGAGGATCCGAAAAAACGAGTTGCACAGCATGCTCTGGCCCGTGAGGTTACGGAATTAGTTCATGGGTCACATGAGGCAAAAGTCACTCGGGAACAGCATCAACTCCTGTTTCAAAAGAAGCCCGAAGAACATTTGGTTGTGGAAGTTCCCATCGATTCTGACGCAAAGGCCGGTCAAGTTACGCTCAACAATAAACCCCGCGCCAATATCCAACTGCCTCACTCTCTCATTCATGAATTGAGCATTGGACGAATTCTTCACGCAGCTGGTCTTGCAACCTCGGCAACTGACGGTCACCGACTCGCAGCAGCTCAGAATAGTGTATATATAGGTGGAATGCCACACGGAAAGTCAATCATGATTGACTCATTCGTTAGCTGGACCAGAATCAAGACATGGCGAAAAGAAGACACTGCCAAGTACCTGGTGCACGGGGATCTCTTGCTGCTTAGAAAGGGGAAACATAACATCAGAATCATTCAAGTGGTTCCTGATGCTGAATATAAAGCATCTGGGAAAACCTATCCCGGCCAAAAACTTAGCAGTCAGCCACCCAGCAACCCGGAGGTGCGAAACAAGAAGATGGTGGGCAATCCAGAGAAGCCTAGTGGCCAAGTAAATTCCGAGTTGGAAACGGCGGAGTAAGGGATTACGCAAATTTTAGATCGTTTCCAGGGCTGGCCGCGAGATGAGTAGATCCTCGCCTGGTGATATCAGTGTATCAACATAATCCTCGAAGAATTTTGTACGAAGATGTAGATAGTTTTGTATCATATACCCGGTCTTCCAGTCAAGACATCTCCATTCACATACAGTAACCAAAAGAAAATCACATGTTCAATCCCTCATCGCCTTTATGCGAACGTCGGGAGTCTCGTAGAGCATCAGCCCCACATTTCGATATTCTGCTCTGCGATCCGGAAATGGGCGGTTCTTAAACCGAATATTCCAAGATCCAACTTCCAAGTATCACCGTAATTTACTGTTTACGTTCCAGCGTTCCAGAACGAAGCGTATTGTAGTGTGACCAATGATATCCATTCCCCTCTATAGTACGTAAGAAAGGGGATGTTTATAAATAGCTCTTTGCTCTCCACCCCCAAGATCCAGACGGCCCATTTTTCCTTATTTCGATGAACGAAGTACCGGTAGATTTACGTCTTCAGCTTGTTACTTCTAGATGCCTACTGTAGCTAAGCCGTAGGTAGTCCCGCAACCCGAAGTTAATGTATGTCATTTAGACTCCTCCTATACAGTTTGACGCTTTTTACTATACAGTTTTACAACTAACCTGTTTAGGAAGTCAAGGAGTTCTGAGCATTCCGCGTGTCGGAGTACTTAAAACACAGAAGTGGCCTTATTAACTTGGGCGGGTTAGGGTTAGGGTTAGGGCTAGGGGTCAGGGCTAGGCACCTCGTTTAGTAGTATAAGTGCTCGATAAGCGGCGGTAGCGTAGACAGTGATAATAGAAGGGTGAGAGAGATTCAGAGAGGTTGCTTAAGTGTGAATAGCTTTAAATAGTGGTTGGGTTTACTAACTTTATTATTAACATAATAAAGACGCGTTTCCTACTTACACCTAAAATACTACTAAAGTAGAAATGCCGAGCTACTAGAACATACGGAACGCCCCTTTCGCCTAGATAGGTTAGCTGTTAAACTGTATAGTAAAAAGCGTCAAACTGTGTAGGAGGACCGGTAATTTACAGTTCCCCGCATCGCGATTCGCTTGGGTGTTCGCACAGCTCTTGCGTGGTAACTTTGTCGATCTGTGCCGGTAGATCTGTACGGAGTACCCCGTTTTTTGGAATTGTTTCTTGGTTTTGGGGCGTGGAAAGTTAGAAGTGAAAAATTGGAGACCCGATTAGGTGATCTTGGGGTGGAGTGTGGAGAGGGGGGAGGGGGAAGGGTTGCTTCTTGGNTGGAAAGTTAGAAGTGAAAAATTGGAGACCCGATTAGGTGATCTTGGGGTGGAGTGTGGAGAGGGGGGAGGGGGAAGGGTTGCTTCTTGGTGGGTGGGAGGGTGTTGGGGATTGTATACTGTGCTATATAAATCACGTATAACACGGTCTGTTAGAGGTACGGTAAGATATCTTCCTACTTTAGACCTGATTTTTGGGAGTTACTGGTACGTTTTTGCATGCGCGGATAACATCCCAACTGTACCATACGAAATACCGTAGAACCTCGACTCGGAGGCCCAAGGTGGTAAATCTGGGTTTTTTGGCCTTGGCCACACCAAAATCCCCCTGGAGCTGCCCTTGGTACTCCCCTTTGAGCGTCTTGTACCGTTAGAACTAGGAGTACGATCAGAATAGAAGTGAAAGTGGATTTCAAAGAGGCATGGCCTTGAGTCGGGACCCTTTTATGGCACTTGCGGCAATGATTCTTACGGAATTCAGGTCTTTTCCGTCTACGGAGTCGAGTTTCTACGGTAGTGGCAGCCCAAGAAATTCTAATGATCTACACCAGCGATCCCCGCGCTGCAAACTCAAACCCGACTGCGCCCCCTTTGCGCCTCGCTTAGGTAGCTGGGTTGTGACGACGAGATTTTTCTTATTAGGATTGTATAAGCTTCGTTACAAGACGGTGGTCGTCAGTGTTGCGTGTTGTGGTGAGGCTTGGGGAGGGAGACTGGGTTGAGGAGGGAGACTGGGTTGAGGAGGGATGGTGGGTTGAGTGAGGGAGTTGGGGTTGGGGATTCGGGTATATGAGATGGGATGGAAGGGGGAGTGAGGATATTTGTAAGAAGGGGAGTTTGATTTTTTCTTCTTCCTATTTTATATATGACAATTTTCTCTGCGGAGGAAAGAAGACATACTCTGTCACCAACTCACTGTCAAGATATCATCACCTAATCCCAGCAATTTCCTCCACCACAAAATCCAATCCAAACCAAGCCAAACCAATCCATACCAATCCATACCAATCCAAACCGATCCAAACCAATCCCAACCAATTCCAACACTCTCCACTACAAGCACCACCAATACAAACCATCCGAACAACAACCCCCCAGCCAAAATGACCCTCACACCCCGCTCAATCCGCCTCGGCACCCTCTCCACCCCCCTAACAACCTTCATCATCATCCTCCTCGTTGCCGCCCTCCTAACCTCCATCCTCATCTGCTGCTGCTGTCTGCAACGCCAAACGAGGAATTCCCGCCAGATCAAAGATCTGGAGATGAGGGGGTACTCGACTACCGCGTGTCCTTCGAGGTTTGCGTATCCACCTTCGCCGTATCCTACTGCTGGTGAGGGGTTGTCGGGAGGAACGACGACGACGGGGTGGGGGGGAGTGGTGGGGAGGTGGATGGGGTTTTTTAGGAGGGAGGAGAAGGGTGGAGTGGTTCATGGAGAGGGGGAGGGGAATAAATGTTTTGTGGAAAGCGAAAGGAAGGGGGGTAGAGAGGAGGAGATGGGAGCGTTGGGGATATTAGTGAAGATGGAGAAGGAGAAGGAGAAGGAGAAGGAGAAGGAGAACGGCAGGGGGAAAGATATAACGCCTAGGATACATAGTGGGAATGCGAAGTTTTACGCCCCAGGTTTGGTGGGGGGTGAGAGTGAGGCAGTGGGGAAGGGGAGGGGGTATGAGTTTTGGATGGAGGAGGTTGAGAGCCCTGGGAGGGTTTTGTATAAGTGAAAGTGAGATACTAGATGGGATTATTGGTGTGTTTTGGGAGTGAGCTTTTGTTTATAGATTTTTATGGGTTTGGGGTATGGAGTTATGATAAGGAGTAAAGTAAAGATGTTTATACTATAAGGGGCTCTCGTTTTTTCTTTCTTCCTTCTTTTAGAATACGAAGTTTAGTTACAGGTATATAACGAGCTTTTAGTATTACTGCTGCCCGTTTAGTAGTGCGGAGACTAGATCTTGTCGTCCCTTACTTTCGCCCGGAACTAATACCCTTTCTGTATCGCAATATATTACCGAACATATGGCAAGTCGAGGATCCTTTCCTTAAAAATGCATTGGATCTAGCCAGCTCGAAGTCGCAATGTGTAGAGTGATAACACGGCTCGACACGACCGGTAGTGAAATCGGCGAACCGGAGACTCGGATGTGGGCTTTGTAGATATTCCGTACATATGATTACTGCACAAGAGATAGAATTACACGTCGGCACTCTTTACTGTAGATTTGTATTCTGCTATCGGTTTTGATCTCATATGTCGACAATAAAGATGGGGTTTCTAAACACGTATAGTAATGACTAGGGTAGGTGTTATTTGTAATTTTACCGCCCAAGAACATTAACCAGAGGATTGAGGGTAGATTTGGAAGTGGGAAATTTAGCTTGGAGTAAAGACGATTCTCCCACGAACCTTAGAGGCCTGGAATATACTTAACTCCTTCCTAGCTAATCATGAAAAGACAACCGAGGGAGATATAGCGGAGGGGAAAAGTACGAAGGGTTCATCGATTCCAGGGCTGGCAATTCGAAGCAGGAAGTTCGTGAGACCAAAAAAAGGGTTCAAAAGTCAGTGGAGAAGGTACTTTGTAGGCGGTCATTAGCTATCCCGTTAATGAACCCCATATTCCTCTATTTTCTTACGGTGTCTGTAGCATTCTAAAGTAGATATACGCACGTCCATCTTGAATTCTAGGGACTGGAAGTTCTCACTGTCGCTTAATTAGTTAATGTCGATTTCTGAACACCGTTATGAAAAAAGGCTCCCCTACAACGGTTAACAAACGTGTCATTAGTAGTCTTATGAAGTTAGCCCTATAGATTAAATACTCGTAATTTGCTATGTGCTCTCCCCGAAACTTGGACGACAAATATGGTTGCTTAGTTTCACTCACTTCTAAGAGGCTAGACATAATATCTTAAACTACTAGCTAGTTTATACTATAGCTTGGATTCTCGCGTGTATAGTAGGATCTAGCTTTAATTATCTGATCTTACGATATTTATTTCATTTTGAATAATTAATCTATCTACATTATATAACAAGCTATCTTAACTTAGCTTACTCCGTATAAGTTTTTTCTAACTAGTAAAGGTAATAGAACGGGCAAGTAGCTAAGGTAGCCTATTAAAGTTACATTTCAAGATTATTACCTGTCCCTTTTTAGAGGAGCGTCTAGATTAGAAAGCTAAGATAACCTTGCCTCTCTCTCCTATATATGAAAGATATTTTAAAACGCGTACTTAGAATAGTAAGAAGCGATTATAAAAACTCTATTAAAATAGGGCCTATATACTTAAACACGTACCATCGTTAGCTAAACGACTTAAACTCTACGGGTATAATATAGAAGTAAACACTTTTACTATTTAGCGAATTAAAGTTTAAGTAGTTATATTAAGTCGTAGTACCTTTAACTTAACTGAAAAGGTATTTTAGCCCTCTTTAATTATACTTAAGTACTTAGTACCAAGTATTTTACTGCTTAGATATTAATTAAGTAGTTTAGAGTATACCTAAGCCGACTCGCTATAGCGGGGTACTATATAGATCCGACTACCTTGGTTTAGCTAACCCCGATACTCTTCGTAGGTCCCTATCTATAAGTAAGTACTAGTCTATAATTAATTATTATAAGTTTAGGGTAAGTATAATATCTAGTAAGCTAAGAAAGCTAGCCTAGGGGTTTTATATAGACTAGTTATATGTTTTTTTATAAGTTCTACTTAAGTAGTATTTAAGAATTTGATTCTTTTTTAAATATGCTAAATACATTTAGGGTATACATTTTTGTAGATCTATTTGAGTCTGAACGAGATTAACCTCATTAGTAGTATCTCTAATCAGTCCTTAGACACGGATTCAAGACATCGGGCGCTTGAACCACTTCTTCCTCTTTACCACCTGAGATTACACGACTTTTATCATGACTACCGATTGATTTTTGGAATTCAGATCATACGTCTTAAGAATAGAAATGCGTCAAAATTATCTAAACCAAATGCTAGTTCAAATTTCGACAGTAGGTTGGCCACCAACAGCAAATCCGGCAGCTCTTTCCCCAAGCTTGCAAGGACATCTAGTACTACCATGGGAACTTCCCTCTTGGCTCCGCCAAATTATTTGTCTCTCAAGCTCTAGCCGTCATACGTGGCACGATCAGACCCGGACCAAGAGGTCATCCTCTGGCGCCATTAATTAGCACCTCTCTTCACTTTTGGTCTGGCCCTTAATATAGCAATCCCCAGCTGGAACTTACCTCCTCCGTGCCCCTTGTTCCACGGGAAATGTATGTGGCCTAATTAGGGCGTGTAAAGTGGTTTCTAGAAACCTCGATTGAAATATTTACTTTGGTATTATATATAACATTTACATTAGTTAAGGAACACTTATATAGAGTTTGTGTCGGTATAAGTGAATACCACTCAAGGCCACTCACGTGCCGTACTTGGCACTAAGCACTACTATATAATAGTAGTAGTACTTACAACACCTTTACTCGGTATGTACAACTAATAGTCTTTATAATACAATATATTCGATACTGAACTATAAGCCTTATATTATACTTTTCTTATTTCTCTTTCGGCTTTATTAACTTAGAGTTAAACTAATACTAATTAGTATAAGCGCGCGTATAGATTAGATAACTTCGATTCCTTAATACTAGATATTAAAGCTATTATAGTAGTAGAGTGTAACGAATACTCAAACTGGCTAACTAAACTTGGCTGGGTGTTCGCTGGTTGGTATGCTATGATAAGAAGAAGACTATCGGGTTGTTCACTTGGAAGTGAACTCGTTACTTGTATCAAAGATGTCAAACTAATATGATAAGATTGATAACTAAGTTGAGCACGAAGCTCCTATCTAATGGCAGACGTGCCAGTCTTATATAGAACCTTCATGTTCCGCCGTCGCCTACATCGCCTGTCGATACTGGCGATGCAAATGGTCACGTGATTACAATGTAATGAAATCCCTGGATCGCTTAGCTAGTCTAAGCATCCCTATTTGCTATAAGAGATATGATAGTGCTCGACCTGTCAGGACGCCGCCTGGTCTTCACTTGTCACATGCTTACGTGATTCGTGACATAATAGTACTTTAATAAGTATATAAATAATAAGAGATCTATACTATTATATAGATTTAAGGAGATTCTAATCCCGCGGATTTAATAACTAAATTAAAGCCCTACTAGGTACTTACTAAATTAATCGAATCTAATAAGATTAAGATTAATATATAAGAGTAGGTTAAATATAGAGAGATTAGAGTAGGGAAGAAGGATATTAAATAGGTTTTTTAGAAAGATATTATAGAGTTTCTTTTATATAAAATAGGGGTTTGTTTTATATTATTTAAGGAACTAGGAATAGCTAGTTATTTAGTTAGTATGTTACCGAGTATAGCCTTTTTCGTCTTTTAAAGTTAGCCTAGTATTAGTATAAGTAAATATTACTTAAGGCTACTTATGTACCGTACTTGGCACTAAGTACTACTATATAATAGTAGTAGCACTTATAACACCTTTACCTAGTATATATAACTAATAGTCTTTATAATACGATATATTCGATACTGAACTATTAGCCTTATATTATACTTTCCTTATTTGTCTTTCGGCTCTATTAACTTAGAGTTAAACTAACACTTTGGTATTCTCATCTTTATAGATAATGTCTTGTTTCGCTTAGAACCCCGATCGTCAGTGCTTCCTAGATCCCTATATAAAAAGGGACGCGTTTAAATCAGGGGTTCGCTAACACGAAAACCCATTTTGGCGAGAGAAGGAGCATGGGGGAGAAAGGCTCCAATACATGCCTGGGTCGGCCAGAATGTGGCATGTAGTAAAAATACTACTATGTTACTATACAAGTGGGGAAATGACAGAAGCGTTGTATTAAACCTAGATGATCCTTTGCTAATCGCAAGGCAGTTCTTCCTGGATTTTTCCTCAAGCTTGAATTAGGATTTTAGAAGAACAACTTATAACTGTATTATTTAACAGATAGATATAAAATTTCAAGGACGATATAGTGACGGCAATACCGGTATATGAAATGGTCGAATATACTTCCATAAAGTAGAGATAGGTGAGTGCGAAATTCGAATCCTGTAATTTCTCATGTGTGTTACAACGTAAGGAGATCATTCCTCTAAATTAGGGAATGGACAGAATAATCACCTTGAAAGGAAATAAATAAACAAAACTAGGCCCAATCACAATCCACTTAAGTTTCCGTTAAGCTGCAAAAGTGTTAGTAGGAGTTGAAAGATTGATTCCATTCCTTTGACCGGGAAGTATCTAGACAGAGTACCTGATTTGCACAAGTGACTCTAGAATCCGTGCATGAGGATTGAAATTAGACGTTGATGACCAGTGATTGATTGTTGACTGCTGCTATACGTGTATATTTACTATTTCAAGCAATCCTCTCTTCCTGCGGGATTCGGTAGTGAGCTGGCCCCCTAGCCACACACACCCCGCGGACCATATGTCGAATGGAATACCTGGCGTGACATCTTGGAATCCGGAGAGATCCCCAAATCAAATACTCCGAGGGTAATGAATTACCCATATTGAACCGAGGTTTGGTGTTATGAGGTCGCAGATATTAAGGTTTCCAATTAACGGGCCCTGTTACCTGAGGCACCAAGGCAGCTACCCTTTCTTCTGTTCTTACCTAGCATACAGTACCCCTCTCGTCTCCCAAGACACCATCG